CTTCCCGCCACTGCTGGTCCCACATGCTGACAGCAACAGCCCCGCTCGCACCTGCTGATGGCGCAGAGGGATTTGGGCCAGCTCCAGCAGTGGTGCTGGAGGCAGCTGCTGGCCCTGATCGCCCCTCAGGAGCAGAGGGAGGTGGAGAAGCCCTGAGAGGCGATCAGGGCTGGCAGTCGATGCACCTGCTGACGGCGCCAGGTGATCGGGGCCGGTGCCAGGCGCTGGCAGCGTGTGCGAGCGGGGGCTCGGGGGCCAGCAGTGCATGCAAATGAGGGCTCCAGCGCTGGCAGTGAGTGCGAGCCCCCGACAGGACTGCAGTGTGCTGGAGCAAAGAATTTTCAGTAACTACCAGAGGCTCGCCCCAATGACCGTGACCAGTGCCCTGCTGTGGTCTGGCGCTCCTGCTCACCTGCTCCACCATCCCATTGCAGCTGATGCCCACCAGGTTCCACACATGCCCCCTGGTGGTCAGCACACATCATAGGGACCGGTTGATTGGTTGTTCCACTGTTTGGTCTTTTGCATATTAAGCTTTTATATATATAGGTAGATATATATTATCTCAATTTGCACAATAAGCCTGGGAGATAGTTGATATTTCTTTATTTAACAGTCATAACATTGAGGCTAGAGAAGTGGAATAGCTCACCCAAGAACATGTGCATGGTGAAATCAGGATATGAATTCAGATACTTTTATTTCAGAGCTTGTATTTATCCCATCGATCAGCTGCCTCCTACATGCCCCCCAACTGGAGATCAAGCCCTCAACGCAGGCATGTGCCCTGACCTGGAATTGAACTGGCAATCTTTGGTGCATGGGATGATGCCCAACCAACTGAGACACACCAGCTGAGGCCCTTTTAGCTATTTTTAAGTGTACTGTTCAACGGCATTAAGTAATTCACATTGTTGTGCAACCATTACCACCATCTGTCTCCAGAACTTTTTCATCTTATAAAACTGAAACTCTATACCCATTAAACAACTCCACATTGCCCCTCACCCCAGACCCTGGAATCCACCATTATTCTTAAAATATAATAAAAAATAAATAAATATATATGTATGTGTGTATATATACTTCAGAGAGGGAGAAAGAGATAGAAACATGAATGATGAGAGAGAATCATTGATCAGCTGCCTCCTGCATGTCCCCCACTGGGGATCAAGTGGAGGTTGAGCAGGAGACAACCTGGGCATGTGCCCTGACTGGGAATTGAGCCGTGACCTCCTGGTTCATAGGTTGGTGCTCAACCAACGAGCCACACCAGCCGGGCCCCCATTCTACTTTGTCACTATGAATTTGACTACTCTAGGTACCTCATATAAATGGAATCACACAGTGCTTGTCCTTTTGTGTTTGGCTTATTTCACTGAACAATAATTGTAACCAGGCTTCTGTTGGTGGACATTTAAATGTTTGGGGTTTTTTGCTCTTCAAACGGTGTTGTGCTGCTGGAGCATGTGATTCAGAGTGCTTTCTCAGTTCTGTCCTGTGCTTGGCTGACTCTGAGGAGAAAATCCAAAGCAAATTCTTTCCTTTTGTTCCTCAGCTTTTCTGGCTGTAAAATAAGAACGTTAAATAATTTCTTTTGTTACAGTATGGTGTGAGGGCCTGCATAGTTTCTGCTTATAACTCATAAACTTTTTGGAAACGAGTACTCTTTAAATATAAAGGTTATCTACCCCTGGACCCTCTGATTACTCCAGTTAAATTGGCTTCTGTTTCTATTGCTGTGGTCCCTTGTTTTATTCTCACCTACACATTTTTGAGTTTGCTACCAAGGCACTTGTCTGTCAGATGAATATGCTTTGTCACTTATGGGGTGGTTTTTGTTGTTGTTGTTCTATAAGGCAGACCCTCCAGTGTACTGGTTAAGAGGGGGAAGTATGGAGTCTTAACTGCCCGCTTTTAAATTTTAGCTTAAGCACTTCACTTACTGTGTGACCTTGGCAACTTAACTCTCAGGTGTTTGGCTTTATAAGCTATAAACCTATGAGGGTAGAGCTATTATGATCCTCATTTTATATTTGGTGAAACTCGGGCTCAGAGAGATTAGTTTAGAAGCATGAGTAAAAAGAAGAAATATACAAGTCTCTATCTGTTAATTTTGTACTTTTGACGGAGACTTGGGCACAAATAAATAGTTCTCTAATTAGTATAAGATACATAGTAGCAAAAGCAATAATAGGTCTCTGACCTGTGGCCTCAGTGTTGGGGAAAACAACAAGAAACTATGTAGAACTAAAGTCCCCACAGGGTAAAACAAACAACAAACAAACAACTTTGTGTCATTTTTCATTAAAATAAAACACCAAAAACGGAAACCTTTGTTTTAATTATCTTAACTTGTAAGAGATACAGAATTTAGATAACCTTACCCCAGGCCAGAGAACTCATACTTGAAATGGGTAAATTATAAACAAAGAATACTGTGGACTATACTTAGGGAGCATCTGGTAGACCAGTGATTCCCAAAGTGGGCGCTACCGCCCCCTGGTGGGCGCTGCAGCGATCCAGGGGGGTGGTGATGGCCACAGGTGCATTTGGGGGCATATATCTTTCTGTTTAATTGCTATTAAAATTTAAAAAAAATTAATTTCCAAGGGGCGCTGAGTAATATTTTTTCTGGAAAGGGGGCGGTAGGCTAAATAAGTTTGGGAACCACTGTGGTAGACAATGAAATACTTTCAAGGAGGAGACAGAACTTGATTTTGACCAACAATGGAAGAAAGAAGGAACTCAAGAAACAAAGGAACTAAGGAACTAAAGTTTTTTTTAGGGGAGGAAAAATGAATATGATTTGACCAATGTATCTTCTAGTGTGTATTTTAATTAGTATTAAAGGAAATATGTTCATGGCAAAAAGTCAAGTAGTACAGGAAAGTATAAATTAAAACATAAAAGTTTCTCAATATTATATACCCAAAAGAACCAAAAGTAGGGAGTTGAACAGATATTTGTCTTAGCAAAGTCACTTTATCCTCTGTAGGTTTCCGTTTTTGGTCAAAAGGGAAAAAAGATGTGACCAACTTCTCAATTCACTAACAAAAATTGTTCAGGAAATTAAATAAAATAGTAAATGGGAAGGCGCTGCACATTATTTTAAAATGCAGTAGAATAGAACAGAAGACAGTGAATTAGGAAGGAATTTTCATCTGGAATGAATTCCCACATCTTAACCAAGGTCAGCGGCTTCTAAGTGCAGCCTTCCCCTGCCATTCACCCTGATCTCTCTGTTCTCTGAAGTAAGAAATAAATTTTAAAAAATTTAAATTCACTTTTAGCCCTGGCCAGTGTGGCTCTGGTTGGGCATTATCCCGTGGACCAAGAGGTTGTGGGTTCAAGTCCCTTTCAGGGCATATGCCTGGGTTGCAGCTCGATCCCCAATATGAGAGCATAGGGCAAGCAAGCTTATTGCATGGGAGGCAACTGGTCAGTGTTACTCTCTCTCTCCCTCTCCTTCTCCCGCTCCCTCTTCTCCCTCCATCTCTCCCTCCCTTCCTCTCTAAAATCAATGAAAACATTCCCTCAGGTGAGGGTTAAAAAAAAATTCACCTTACAAAAGGAAAAGATCTAGTGATTTACTGGCTGTGTGGTACGCCTCAGCGTGGAGTGGATGTGCTATAATTTGTGTCTGTTGTATTGAATGGAGGAGGGGAGGCAGAGGTATAGAACTTCCTATGGTTTGCTGCCTGTGTTTGCTCCTATTGTAACCTAAAATTTTATTAGGAATATAATATAGGCTTGTAATAAAAAGTCAGTGCCAAATATATAAAGTACAAGTAAAAACCCTCTAATCTGTCTGCTACCTCTTTTTTAATCTTATTCTCTGAAGTGGTAACCTCTGTTAACACCATTGTTAACAATCTGTAGTTCATCCTTCCAGACATTTTTAATGTGTCTGCAAATATAAAGAATATATAGACTATACTACACATATATATATCCCACGTTCAAAGGCTGTTAAATTGCGTTGTTTACCCATATCTTCAGAAAAAAACCCCTTCTATTGTCTTGGTAAACAACCTGCTTTCCTGTTTGTAATGGTCTAGCCCTCTAGCAACCTCAGTGCGAAATTATAACGAATTTGCCTACAAACGCCAGGTGGTCTTAATAATCTGGCCACTCAGTGTATATATTCTTATTCTCTAGGAGCTGGCTCGCACAGTGTAATATTGCTCATCTAATTCAGACTATTGAGAATTAGTTATGCAGAGGAAAGAGCTGGACTGAGCTTCATGAGACCTGGGTTCTGTCTAGGTCAGGGGTGGGCAAACTTTTTGACTCGAGGGCCACAATGGGTTCTTAAACTGGACCGGAGGGCCGGAACAAAAGCATGGATGGAGTGTTTGTGTGAACTAATATAAATTCAAAGTAAACATCATTACATGAAAGGGTACGGTCTTTTTTTTTTTAGTTTTATTCATTTCAAACGGGCTGGATCCGGCCCGCAGGCCGTAGTTTGCCCACGGCTGGTCTAGGTTCTGCTACTGTGACAGGCAGTTCCTTAGTTGTCATTTGTATGGTGTCCACAGTCAATGAGATCACATCAAAGAGAGTGCTTTGAAAACTAGGGTGCTACAAATATTTTGTTGCAAGCACTAGAAACCAACTAAGGTTCTGTTAGACTCCCTCCACCTCCCCCTCAAAAAAGATATTAGTGGAAGGATTTTAGGTAGTAAATGAAGAAATATTTATGTTCTCTGGAAAGTCAGGAACAGGGTGAATTTGAGGGTTTCAGTATCTGTACTTATATCTTTCCATTTCCGTATGTCTGTTCAAGATTTGATTCCCGGGGAAAAGTGAGTGGCTTAGGGGCGATGTCTATTGATGATTAAGGGGGTGGAGTCCTGGGTTTATGTGCCCCATCAGAATCTCTCGGGGTTGAGGAGATGCAGTTTTGGAAAGAATGGGATTCAAGGCTGGCAAAACCAAGTGTCAGCCTTGAAATAGCGGCTGTTTTAACCCTGAATTCTTACTCCCCTGGTAAGGAGGAGATGATCGCCGGGTTCTGCTATGGCACATGGAACAAGCTATCCACTCCAGAGTCAAGCCCATACAGCTTAAAGGAGAGCATCATTCTAACATTTTCTGCCTGGCTTTCAACAGTGGGAACACCAAAGTATTCTCTGGAGGTGAGAAGAAAGGAGCTTTCCACATTGGGAAGTTTCACTGGGGCCGATAATTTACATAAAGGAATGCTAAAATTACTCCTATTTTCCTTTATTGTTCTGTGGAATTCCTAGTTTTCCATAGCTTGTCTTCTCTGCATTACAGTAATTTAGACATGTGTACTAGAGTAATCCATTCATCCCTCCCTACCTTCCTTCTTTTCTCTCCTCCCTCCCTCCCTCCCTCCCTCCCTCCTTCCCTCCCTCCCTTCCTCCCTCCCTTCCGCCTTCTCTCCTTTCCTTCTGTTCTTTTGCTCTCACTATTTCTCTCTTTTTTGGTAGAAAACTTTTTACATTGCAATCTGCTACACAGAAACACACACACATATTTGAAACAGTACTTAATCTTACTATGTGTGGTGCACTCTAGTTTTTTGTGTTGTTTTTTTTTTAAATTCTATTCTATTTCACTTTTAAAGATTTTAAAGTTTGTAGCTCAAGTCAATCATCTGACCCATGAGAAACATTGTGCTAGGGTACCATTGGAGCACAAGCCAGTCTCTGGGTGAAGGTTTCCATCAATCATACTCCTTTTTGACCAGCACATTTCTAGCCCTGACCTCTCTCCTGCACTGCAGACTTGCCTATGTGTTTCAGAAGCAATTTAAACGCAAATCTAAAACCAAGATTATTATCCTCTCCTGCACAAGTATTCCTCTGATTCCCTGGATTTCTTTTCTCAGTTATTATCCCCATTCACCCAATTATTTATGCTGTTAGGTTTAACTTGAAGCAACTGCTGCCTGGCCTGTTTGGTTCAGTGGTTGAGTGTTGACCTATGAATCAGGAGGTCATGGTTCAATTCCCGGTCAGGGCACATGCCCAGGTTGCTCAATCCCCAATAAGGGGTATCCAGGAGGCAGCCCATTGATGATTCTCTCTCATCATTGATGTTTCTCTCCCTTCCTCTCCCTTCTTTTCTGAAATCAATAAAAATATATTTTTAAAAAGGAAAAAAATAACTTGACATTGAAGCGTTTTCAACTTACAGAAATGACAATTTCACATAGTTCAGCTTAATAGAAACCTTGAAGTCATTCTCAAACATGCCTTTCTTTCATTTACACATTCAGTTAGTCAATGGTTAGACTTGAAAGCCTCTCATTTCTTTAGTTTCTGTTCTCTTCCTATACCCACTGCCCTGATTCAGGTCCTCATCTTTGGCCTGGACTATTGCAATGTCCTGTCATTTCTGCTTTCCATCTTTAACCCTTCTTCTATTTCATTGCTGATACAAATTTTCTTTCAAAAATAAAGGGTTTTTTTAATTGAATTTATTGGGGTGGCATTGGTTAATAAAATTATATAGGTTTCAGGTGTACAATATACATCACCTGTATATTGTATTGTGTGTTCACTACCCCAAGTCAAGTCTTCTTCATCACCATTTATCCCCTCCTATACCTTCTACGTCCCCCACCCTTCTTTCCCTTTGGTAGTCACCATACTGCTACCTATGTCTATGAGTTTAACAATAAAGGTTTAACTATGTGAATCTCTTTGACTCTATAGTGTTCATAGCATAATGTCTAAACCCTAGTTTCCCTCTCTGGCCTAATCTCCCCCTTGCATCTTGTACTCTAGTCCACTAAACCAGTGGTTGGCAAACCGCAGCTTGCGAGCCACATGCGGCTCTTTGGCCCCTTGAGTGTGGCTCTTCCACAAAATACCACGTGAGGGCGCGCACGTACAGTGCGATTGAAACTTCGTGGCCATGCGCAGAAGTTGGTTTTCGGAAAGGAGATAGACGAAACAAGTATACAAGACGAGTGTGGATGGGATAGTTGGAAAGGGTCGACCTCAGCGAACATACCTCAATCAGATTGAGGACGTTTTTAGCAAAGGCCAGCTTAGGAGTACCCTAATTAAGTTAATAACAATGTACTTACCTATATAGTTTAAGTTTAAAAAATTTGTCTCTCGAAAGAAATTTCAGTCGTTGTACTGTTGATATTTGGCTCTGTTGACTAATGAGTTTGCCAACCACTGCACTAAACCATTTGCTGTTTTAGGTGCCCTTGTGTCTTTTGCTCATGCTATTCCTCCATGGGTCATGATTATTTGTCCAGTTCCCACTAGTTTCCCTAAGTCTCCCATTAGGAAGAGTTTTGAATAATTTGAGTTTCTGTTCAAATGTCTCCTTCCCCATAAAAACATTCCCTTCTGCCATGTACTTTCACCCTGCTCATGAAGGAAATAATTGCTTCTTTATCGGTGTCGCCATTTGAAGCATATTGATACAAGATATCCTGTCTTGTACACTGTTAATTATTTGTGCAGTTGGACTGTGAGTTCCTCAAGGGCTGGGCAGAATTCTTATATCCCCAGCACCTTGGCTGTGCCTGTTACCTAAAAGGCATTAATTAGTATGGGTTTGATTCACTTGATATGCACCCACAAGAGAGTTTATATAGCCAGGGATTTAAGATGGTCAGGGTCACTGCTAATTTTACTTTTGGTTGTGCTTTCAGCACAAAATGGGAAGTTTTTTACTTTGTCTTTTCATATTTAGGTTATTAATTTTTTGCTATATAATCTTTTTGAAGGTAGCATTACACATAATCATGAATGTAGTGTTTTTAGATTTCTTGATGGTATAAAAAATGCGAGACAAAAGTTGTGGATAAAAACTTTTTCATTATTTAGAATCATATAGTCATCAAATTTTAATACTATAGATGAGGATGTGAATAGTAGCAAACATCTGTTGGATATTCTGAATACTTTTACAAATGTGCTCTTATCCTCACAATAAACCTATGAAGTAGGTACAATTATTATACATTTTGCAGATAAAAAACAGAGGCATCGAAAAGTCACAAATATTATTCTAGGTCTCACAGTTAGTGAGTGTTTGCTTAAAAAAATAAACTTTAAAACGCTAGCTTGAATTGATTTGCCCTTGATCATTTACTTTTTTCCTTAATAGCCACAGCTTTTTTTTTTTTTTTACATTGTCCACTGGATAAAACATTTTGGAAACTTACAGTTAGTTGCTATTATGAGTTTTGAAAGTCTCTAAAGAATGTCCTATTCTTAAATTATTTTTATAAGTATTTTTCTAATTAACACTTCTAATTTGTACTAACATTAACTTTGTTCACATTTAATTTTCACTGAAAATCTTAAAATACTAAATTGTAATATGGATAGGGATCACTTTGTGGGAATGATCAAAATGTCTGCTTTTTTCCCCTTACAGGTAATGATGAGCAAGTTATCCTCCATGATGTTGAAAGGTAAATAAATTGTTGATATGAGAAGGTGATTGATTCTGTTTTTCATATGAAGAGAGGCAAATATTTCTTTATACCACAGTAGTTTTTGTTTTTTGAGAAAAAACAAACAAACATAAAATCAGCTGTCCTTTTTTTGAAGAAGATTCTTGTAATAGTTTTGAAATAAATGATTGATTAAAAAGAGAAAAAGATTTGCAAAGTTGGTATGAAATACAGCTTTCAGAAGAAAACTTAAAAGGATTGTTGGAAGGGAAGGAAACAATAATTTATAGTAATAATAATAATAGCTAATATTTATGAGTGTTTTGTACGTATTAATAAATTTAATCCTGCCCTAGCTGGTTTGACTCAGTGGATAGAGCGTCAGTCTGTGGACTGAAGGGTCCCAGGTTTGATTCCGGTCAAGGGCAAATGCCTGGGTTGTGGGCTTGATCCCCAGTAGGGGGCAAGCAGGAGGAGCTGATCAATGATTCTCTCTCATCATTGATGTTTCTCTCTCTCTTTCTCTCTCCTTTCCTCCCTGAAATCAATAAAAAAAATATTTTTTTAAAAAACTAATAAATTTAATCCTTACAATAACTCTATGAGGCTATACTATTACGGTCTTCAATTACAAATGAGGAAATATAAGATCATGTAGTGCCTAGGATCTGAACTTAGGCAACCTGGCCAAGAGCTCTTCTCTGCTGTGCCAGACTGCCAGTATATCCCTCTTTTACCCAGCTGGCATCAGACCTGGCTGCTTTAAAGCTTTCCTTTGCTTTTTGGAAATCAAGCAGCACCCCCAAATCTGTACACAAGCAGATGCATTCTGTAGTAAGTGAAAACACAAAACTCATCTGTTGAGTCACTTTTAAATATGCTCATTTAGCACCAACAGCAACTTACTTTGAAATCTATAAAAAGTCTCTTTAATGTACTTTTATTTTTTTCAGCTGAAAGTTGAATACCTACTTTTATTATTATTATTATTATTGTTAATCCTCACCTGAGGACATTTTTCCATTGATTTCTAGAGAGAATGGGAGGGAGGGGGAGAGACAGAGAGAGAGAGAAACATTGGTGTGAAAGAGACACATCGATTGGTGGCCTCCCACAGGTGCCCCAACCAAGGTTAGGGATTGAGTTTGCACCTAAGTATGGGAACCCTTGACTGGAATTGATCCTGAGACCCTTCTTTCCACAGGCCGATGCTCTATCCACGGAGCCAAACCTGCTAGGGCTTGAATACCTACTTTTAAAGGAAATATAATACTCTTTGGCTTTATTTAAATTGACTTTCTCCTGGAAATGAAAGGGAATCCTACCCTAGGAACTACAGTAGAGGGCTGGGAGTCTGGCTGTTTGTGTATATGTGTATATGTATGCCTATGTGCCTCTCTCTGTTCTCTGTCTCTCAGCAGCGAGACCTTGGACGTGTTTGCTCATGAAGATGCAGTATATGGCTTGTCAGTAAGCCCAGTGAATGACAACATTTTTGCCAGCTCCTCAGATGATGGCCGGGTTCTCATCTGGGACATCCGGGAGTCTCCCCATGGAGGTAGGTTACTTGCAAAATGCTGTTGGATTGTGTTGAAGGGTTTGATTTCAAGTTCATTGCAGATCCAGTTTATGACCTGAGTAACCTGGGTGGGAGTGATTTAAAGGGGGAGGAAACTCTCACATAGGGGAATAGATATGTGTTTCTGAGGTCCCACCTTACCCCTAAGTAGTCAGAAGTGAAGCCCCTTGCCAGTCCTTTCCAACCACAAACCCTTGTACCCATAGTAAACAATGCAGTATCTTGGTGTTTAGTCACCCCAAGGAACAGAAGATGTGGTGCTTCATCGTGGAGCTTAGCAAGCACAGGCCCGCTCTATGTGTGGCTCTGGCGTGCACACATTCTTTGTTATTTACGGAGAAGGAGGTGTTAGGCACTTTCTTGAATCCTAATTTCAGGGGCTTGTTATTTTGCTGAAAGAACTAGAGAACCTCGCCTTCACTGTGTATAAGAGCTTAAAATGATGTCACATCCACTGTTTACAGAGGATTATCTGGGTGAGTTCCTCCTCCTGTTTTCTTTGAGTCTCTGGAGTATAAAGTGAAGACATGAATGTTGAAGTTCTCTAAAGTTTTTCGGGGATGCATCTTTTCAGCTCATTTCCTGCAGAGAGATTTCTCTCTGTACTGTGCCGGTCTTCAAAGGCTCTTTCCTCCAGTGCCATCCCTACCCCACTCTTGGTGCCGCTTTGTCATGATTACACCTGTGTACATAGAGTTATTTTCCTGCATGTCTGGCAGGATCTGGGTATTTTTATTATTCTATATTCTGAGCATTTAACAAGCTGGGAATGTTAAATGCCCATGATTGAAGCTTGTTCTTAGGGTCAGGCAGGTAAGGTAGCTGCAAGCAGCAGCTTGGGAGGTGAAATTTTCCTTTGTCTGAACCACCTGCTGGCTGAGATGCCTGATTCCCCTCCACCCACCCCCCTCATGAAGTGTCACATACGGAAATTACAGACAGAATGCTTTCTGTTGCCTCTAAACAACTTCCACAGGAGTGTGTCTTCCCAGGTAGCAAGTAATTCCTTCTCACCTGGAGCCAGCAGAGAAGTATGCAGAGGTCTGCATGATTTCTAGGTGAAGTTGATCAGGAGGGAAAACTGTACTATTGTCTTTATTTGTCTTCATTTTTCTCGTTGTTTTACATGGTCTTCAATAAATTTTTTTATAGCTTTAAAACTTTTTAAGAAATATGTTCTTATTGATTTTTAGAGAGAGGGGAAGGGGGGGAGAGAGAGAGAGAGAGAGAGAGAGAGAGAGAGAGAGAGAGAGAGAGAGAGAAAGAGAGAAACACTGATCAGTTGCTTCCCACATGTACCCTAGGGACTGGGGACTGAACCTGCAACCTGGGCCTGTGCCCTGACTGGGAATCGTACCAATGATCTTGCAATGCATGGGACGATGCTCAACCAACAGCCACTCCAGCCAGGGCAAAACTTTTAATTTTTAAAACTCATAAATTTGGATTAAGGTATAATAATCTTAGCAGTTAATTGGTCGTGAATTTTTTCAGCTCATGTGGAATTCAGTTTTACTTATTGTAAAACAGCTTACTTACTATTTACAGTGACTACTTCTGTTGTATCACAGAATCTGCATAGGGACTATATGTATTTTTGAATATTATAGCTTAAAGTTTGTTTATATGTATTTAAGTTGCTTTTTTCTATGTGCAGAAAGTGTGTGCTAGGACTTGTGGGAACCTTGTGAGTAAGGGTGACCAAGTTGGGGTTCTAGCCCATTGATGTGGTTATTAAAGGGTGTGCTCTTACTTGCATTAACGTTCCCGCTTGTCTTCTTGCCCCTGGCCCAAAGGTGCCTGAAATGGACTGATAGTAGTTTCTTTCTTCACAGAGCCTTTTTGCCTGGCAAACTATCCATCTGCCTTTCACAGCGTCATGTTTAACCCTGTGGAGCCCAGGTTGTTGGCCACAGCCAATTCAAAGGAAGGAGTGGGACTCTGGGATATTCGAAAACCTCAGAGGTGAGCCTCTTTCTCCACTTCAACTCTCAGGTAATGTGATCAGCCAACAAAGGTTGTGAGAACCTATTTGGCAGTTGATCTCAGTTGGACATCTCCTAACGTGAACTAATATCTCTGCAGTCAGGGGAGCCATGTTCCCAAGGGACCGGCAGTGTGAGAAATCACACCCCTTGCTGAGGAGGAGTCTGGACTCTGGAAAGGTCAATTCCAGGCAAATAAACGATGTAGTAGCGAGAACCTCCCTTTAGTCCTGCCTTCTGTCTTCAGCCCAGTTTTCCCCAGATGGCTGAGAGCTTTTGCTTTTTTATCTCTTTTACTTTATATGTTTCCAATGTTTGAAGTCACTCTCTCTGAAAGTAACCCCAGTGAATCATTTCTTCATGTATCTTTCTAGAACATAATTTACTTCATATACTGGCATGTATGTGTGTCCTTTAAAAAATGTAGACTAAAGGAATCATGTAATCCCATTGTTCTCAACTCCCCCCCCCCCCAATTAATAATATATATTGAAGCTTTACTTATATTAGCACTTACAGACTTAGTACATTCTTTTAATGGCTACATGATATTCCATTTATATGATAGACCCAACAATCAGGGCTTTTGTTATAGACAATGCTGCATTGCACCTGCTTGCACATCTACTTGGCCTACTTGTGCAGAAATATCTGTAGGGAATAGCTTTATCAAAGGGTGTGTGTTTCCACATTGTTCATGAAATTGTCAAGTTGTCCCACCACCACCAAAGACTGTACTGGTTTATAAGGCCACCAATTGTGCATAAGACCACATGTTTCTCTAGACCAGGGGTGGGCAAACTTTTTGACTCGAGGGCCACAATGGGTTCTTAAACTGGACCAGAGGGCCGGAACAAAAGCATGGATGGAGTGTTTGTGTGAACTAATATAAATTCAAAGTAAACATCATTACATAAAAGGGTACGGTCTTTTTTTTTTTTTTAGTTTTATTCATTTCAAACGGGCTGGATCCGGCCCACGGGCCGTAGTTTGCCCACGGCTGCTCTAGACTCTCACCAATACTTAACCTGTTGCTAATCTATGGGGCGGGGGGGGGGGGGGGGGGGATATTATCTTGTTTTGATTGTTTCTTCAGTAGTGGGTGAGGTTATATGGTTTCTTTGGTATCTATAGTTTTCAAAACCCATATGGGAGAAAAGTCATCTAATAAGGCTAATTGGCAATCTTGATAGAGTCCTTTCTTAAGAACAGAGGAGCACAGTGCTGTGAGGACTGGGATGTTTTTACCTGTTTCTTTAAACTCTTCTGAGATTCTGTGTGAATTTATGGGTATGAAGCAGAGAAGGGGCATGACATACTCTTGCGGCCCTGTTCTTCATCCACTGGTATTTTGGGATTAAATTACAGATCTTTTCCGTTTGAATTCTCTCAGTACATGTTGGTGTAGGGGGAAGAAGAAAGGGCCTTGTGTCTTTTCCATGCAGGATTCATTATGTTGAGTTGCAATACATGTTTTGTCTCCTAAACACAGCTACCTCGATTCGAAAGTCCAACCTAGATCTTGGGGCAATTCGGAATCCCCTGGGAGGTTAAGCTGGAACCGGGTAGTTCTGTTTCAGGGATTCTTAAAGTCTGGGGAAAGATTTTTGCCCTGGCCTGGTGGCTCGGTTGGTTGGAGCGTCATCCTGTACACCAAAGGGTTGCAGGTTTGGTTCCTCGTCAGGGCACATGCCTAGGTTGCAGGTTTGATCCTCGGTCCTGGCATATATAGGAGGAAACCAGTTTTTTTTCTCTATCTCTCTATCCCTCCCTCCCTCCCTCCATCCTTCCCTTTCTCTATCCCTCCCTCCCTCCCTCTCTCCCTCTCTCCCTCTCTCCCTCTCTCCCTCTCTCCCTCTCTCCCTCTCTCCCTCTCTCCCTCTCTCCCTCTCTCCAAGCATATCCTCAGGTGAAGAGTGTAAAGAGAAAAAAATGTCTAGGGAAAGATTTTAGGGAATTTGTGAACCCCTTATAATTGCAGGTAAAATGTGTGTGCTTTTGTATCTGAATGGGCACACATGACATTTTCCCCCCTAAGGATGGGGAAAGAGAATTTACTAGGTTCTCATAGAGACCCTTGACCCCCCCAAGAGGATAAGAGTCACTGGTGTTTTAAATATTCTAGATTTAGAGCTTATTGTGGTTCCTTAGCAGGCTAATAAGTGATTTCTAGCTTGTAAAAGATTGGGCATGTGAATAAATTCTGGGCCTATTTGGAAGGCTTCCTGGAAACAAATGTAATCACCAAGGATCAATAAGGAGGCCTCACACCGAACACTATTTCCCCCCTCTGGCTTAACCTACGGATTATTCCATACTGGAATGGTTTCTCTGCCCTACCCCAAGCCTAAGCTATACTTCCCTACTTTAGCTTGGTAAACCAAAGGAGTGTGAGCAGGGTAATGTTTTTGTTACTACTGCCCTGAAATAAGCTGATTAGAGGGTTTCCTGGTAGAATAAAAATGTCAGTTCTAGAAGGGAGTTTAGTTATCATTTGATCTGACTTCCTCATTGTACACATCTAGCTTAGCAAGGCTGAAGAGCTTCATAGTTTAGGGCAGTGGTTTCCAATCTTTTTTTTGGCCATGCCCCACCTAAGCATCTCTAAAATCCTGGTGCCCGCCCCTGTGACACATAATTCTTATTCAAAAAGTGAACTGTTCACATGGAGGAAGCCTAAAAGGCCATTAACTTAGTCTAAACAAGCTTCCAAAGAACATGGCATCCATGAAAGAGAAAAATAAAAGAACGGAAGAACAATTGAAGTATTGAGGAAAAAAATCACTAAAAATTGTTTAAAAAATATGAAGTGATATGAAAAAATAGCAAAGTTTCAAACCATATAATAGAGAACTGAAATGCATAAATATGTCACAATATATATTTATTCCTATTTTAATGTTAAGAAAATCAATACACAGAGAGGTAAAATAATGTGTGTGTGTATGTGTGTGTATTATATTCCCACCCTTTTTAAATCAGTTAGAGTCCCTGTACATTCTAGTTTTTCTTCATCTGGACCTCCTTGCAATAGAACTTCGTAAGAATTCCTCTTAGGTTTTTTAATACAGACCTGTTCAACTTTGAAGTTGGTCCAACTCTAAGTCCTTTAGACTTTCTACCTCTAAAAGTTAAATTTCTTTTTACTGTCTCCTGGCCCAGTCCCTGTGTGCATGCTGGCTTTCCCAGTTTCTTGCTCTTCTAAGCCTGGAAACCTGCACATGCTATTTATCTTGCTGCAAAGCTTTAGAACAGAGATTGTAAACTAATTGCCCTGTAGGCCAGAGTCAACCCACAGAGATATTTTGTTTGTCCAACACGATGTAATAATGTTTAGAAAGTTACACAGAAAAATCACAATTTCTAACATCTCTTTAAAAAGTTAAAAGATCTGTTACCATTGGATCTTTATTCTCACATGACAGCAGTCTACTGAAGCTAAGTCATGAATTCCTCTTTAAACCTTTAGGATGTGTTACAGATCTCACCACTTCTTGAAGTCTGAATCCAAGTGTGCTTTTCTCATTTACATTACTTGCCTGGCAAAAGTCTGCTTTAGCAGTTTTAGTGGTAATGAGTAGGCCAAGGAGGGGGGTGGGGGGAGACTTTGAGTGTAAGTGACTGGATAAGAGAAAACTTCACATGTACATGCATACATTGCATGTTTGGAAAGGTTTCACTTGTTTCGTTTGGATTCTTTCTGCTGTCACTGCCCACATCCCAGTTATATCTTGCTTGGACTGTTGCAGTGGTCTCTGAAAAGTTTTCAGAACTGGGATCTTCTAATATCTAGAGCAGTGGTTCTCTACCTTCCTAATGCTGCGACCCTTTAATACAGTTCCTCATGTTGTGGTGACCCCCAACCATAAAATTATTTTCTTTGCTACTTCATAACTGTAATTTTGCTACTGTTATGAATCGTAATGTAAATATCTGATATGTAGGATGTATTTTCATTGTTACAAATTGAACATAATTAAAGCATAGTGATTAATCACAAAAACAATATGTAATTATATGTGTGTTTTCCTGATGGTCTTAGGTGACCCCTGTGAAAGGGTCGTTCGACCCTCAAAGGGGTCACGACCTACAGCTTGAGAACCGCTGCACTAGAGTGTTCAGGAAAAGTGATGTTTCCCCCTGTTACTCTACTTGTCTCACCCTTTTCATTGCCTGTTTTAGCTGTCTGCTCACTTACTACCTCTCTCCCTTCTCATATCTTTAGTTCCTGTCAGTTTTTGTTAGGAACTATTAGTTCTGTGACAGGTAACAGTGTCTTGCTTTGACAAGAATAATAAAGAGAATGGTTCTTTCCCACTCAATAATAAAACTAGGGCAAGCCAAGAATTCCTGTAAAGACAACTCATGAGATGTTGCTTTTACATGTATGAATGACACATCTGAAAATGGGCAATGAGCGTCAGTTCCTACTATCAGAAAGAAGTTGCTCTTAGGACCTGGCCTGGCTTTGGAGGCCTCAGGTTAATTAAATGTCTGTCCTGCAGGACCTGTGTCAATCCTACTTCTGTAGAGACCAAATTAAGTGTAACTCCTTGCCTTCTGAACAAGCCAGACACTCTCTGCCACATTGCATTCGAGGTTGCTCATACTATTCCATGTAAAATAGAGCCCAGGGTGTAACTTGAAAGGCTGGAAAAGGCACTCATGCTCTGGTGTTCGTTGAAACTTCAAGAATGACCTGGCCTCCTTCCTCTCAGAATGCAAGGCCATCAGGTTAGACAAAGATTTCTTAAATTTTTGTAAACAGGATCCCAAAAGAAAAATAATGGGGAGAAAAATTAATAAATTGGATTTCATTCAAATTAAGAACTTCTATTCATCAAAGATACCATTAAGTGAAAAGATGAGCTAAAGAATAAGCCATAATCTAGGGGGAAATATTCAAAATACATGTATTGAGCAAAAATTCATATCCATAATATATAAAGAAATACAAATCAGTAAGTAAAATACACAAAA